CCTACAGGAACAGCCCTCCCAGCAGCCCCCTCTTCCAAACACCACATGTAGCTTCCCCCTCCTACAGGAACAGCCCTCCCAGCAGCCCCCTCTTCCAAACACCACATGTAGCTTCCCCCACCTACAGGAACAGCCCTCCCAGCAGCCCCCTCTTCCAAACACCAGATGTAGCTTCCCCCTCCTACAGGAACAGCCTTCCCAGCAGCCCCCTCTTCCAAACACCAGATGTAGCTTCCCCCTCCTACAGGAACAGCCTTCCCAGCAGCCCCCTCTTCCAAACACCAGACGCAGCTTTCCCCCGCCCGGTAGCCTCTCCCTGTGGAGTGTCAAAGGCATCCTTACCGGAGGAGTGCTGAAAACGTAGAAGGACGGGCCCTTCAGTGCTAGGAACTTGGGTCTGAAGGTTTGAGAGGAGTCAGCTCCTTGGAGTTTCTCATTTACCCACCCCATATGCACCACCTGCAAAGGGAAACCTTTGAAAATTACAAACCAAGCCTTAATGAGGGCATAATGTCACAGGAGCAGAGTTAAGCACATGAGCAAGCCGTGCTCCCACCAGATCAACACACCCAGAATCGGGAGACGGGAGAAACGTGGAGATGTCCAATTTTCCAAATCAAGTTCACACAATAGGAATGAATCACATCTTGAATTAAAAATTCAGTTTTGCATTGAACCAGGTTTTACATGAGAGCACTTTCAGTTTTGGCGAATGGGTTTCTCAGCTGCCTTAGAGTTGTTGGTTTCATTTATCTTTTAAAAAGACTGTATTGAATTGTATTCTATTAGAAGGTAGTATTTCAGATTTTTCTGTGAGGTAGTAAAAACAGCTAATTATATTTTTCATTCCTATAGTGAACATAGTAGTTGGCAAATATGGAAAATAATTGTCTCCCTTTATGGTTCAACTTCTTAACAACAATGAAATAATGCAAAAATATTAGATTCTTACAATGAGCAGTGAATATTTTTAGCCATATAAAATCCAAACTATAAAAATCAGAAGATGATTCAAAAACATTTAAATAGTAATCCAATTTAAGAATTCAGTGCATGAATTCAAACTATTATTGAAGAAAAATCCATGTTATCTAAAATTTTAATGTGACATATTTTGTAGTGAATACTAGGAGTCATTTCATTATAATTCTTTCATTTTCTCACTCTGCTATTTCAAGGAAAACCAATGAACATATGCTTAGCAGTAAACACTTAGAAAAATAAAAATAAGTTATCACAGAGATCCCGACCACTTTACCAAACGACACTGACCGATGAGCTATGACAAGCTGAGAACCAGCTGGGACCTGACACCCCTCCAGTGTGCAAGCCCCACACACCACGAAGTGCCCTCTGCTGGGCCGCCTGGGTAAGTCCCGTCACAGCCAGCACGGGCTCCACCGAGGGCAAGTCCTGCTTCTGTTATTTGCTTGATAAACCGCTGACGGTCTTCACTCTTAAGCTGTATGAGACTTCCCGGGACGTCGAGAGGCTGGACGACAGAACCAGAGTTCTACGAACGGTATTTCTAGCAATGGGAAAGAAAATTACCAGCACTGTTCTGCAGGGCGGGGGGCGTAGCCGAACAGCTAACATCATCGTGGTTTTCAGTGTTGAATACGAATCACCGAATGCGTTAAACGTTTTAATGTTGTCTTTCTTGACTGTTCTGGATTTACAAGGCTTTTAAAAGTAACCCAAATATTTCACTGGATCATGAACTTCCAAATTCCTAATGGGTTATCCTTACGTCCCATGGAGGCTCAGGAACCACATCGATGTGCTGTTAATATGATGATAACAGAGGACGACTTTATCTCCCCAGAGACCCTCCCCAGCAAAGCACATTTAACATTGCCAAGGCTCTCTTTTTCCATCATGAAATGGGGTAGAATTATAGATCTCACGTGAGAACTGTGGGAATTTCACAGGGTACCACAGGAAGCCCCTCGTAAGGCACTAGCCGGGGGCAAAGGCCGAGGACATTCATACCTGGAAAAGCCACTAATGTGTAATTTACTCCTCCAGTGTCTGAATTTGAAGCCAAATACACAGATTATTTAAAAATACCTAATAGATTTTTTTTCCTTTTTTGTCTGGTTGGGTCACATATTTTTGTTGGTTATAACACTAGCATTTATACTCTGTAAATCACAAAAAGCTCCATTTAAAAATGCATTTTTTTCTAGCAAATTTAGCAGATGCTCCATGTTTCCATAATTAACGTGAATTCAATGCGTGATTAACTC